GCCCGCCGCTCACCGCTGTCTGCAGACTCGGTGGGGCCTGACTCCCCCTCAGAGTCGGAGTAGAAGGGCTTCTCCTTCTCCTTCCTCTTCTCCCGACTGGAGCACTTGGTCCATTCAGGCACCTGGAGTTCGGGGTTCGGGGGTGTCACCAGAGCATGCTGGGAAGGGAAGAGAGGCGCTAGGGCCCTCCCCCCCCCACTGCCAGCGGCCTGGTCCCGAGGGGCACATGGGCCTGCCTGGCGGGGCCGGGGGCGGGCAGGGAGCTCACGGGACCGGGTGTGCAGCCCAACGGCCACACACGTGGGCCTCGAGGGGGGCTCTTCTTGCTGCGCGTGGGCAGGTGTCCGGCAGGTGCCGTCTCCCCCACCCCCACGCGGCCCCCGCCAACCTCCACGTTGCGCACAGAAGGGTCCGGGGCCTCCTCCGGCCAGTCCGGGAGCTCCTGGTAGCCGGTGGCCTTGGCGTTGAGCAGGTGGGACAGTGAGCCCAGCTGGAAGTGGTCCCGGTCTGGGGACAGGACACGTAGGGGCAGGCAGGCAGGCCCCGAGTGGGGCTCCCGGGCGCCACTGCGCCAGGGCAGACGCGGCTCAGGCGCGGGCTCCCACCCAGCTTCCCCTGGGGCCGGGCGCTGGAGGAGGCCCTGTGCCCGCAGAGCGGGCGCTACAGGGGCGGGCGGGGGCAGACGTGGGGCTGGGAGCAGGGGTGAGCGGCAGGGGCACAGGGAGCGCAGAGGGGCCGGGCCCCGCGGAGGCTGGGCGGAGGTCAGTGAGGGGACACGGCGGGGGCTGCTGGCCAGGATGTGAGAGGGGCTTGCCTTCAGGGTCACGGGCACCCCAGGATGGGGTCCTCGCTCTGAGGGCTGCTCAGGGGTGGGTGTGGGGGACTGAGCGGCCAGGAGTGGTCTGAGCCAGCGTCTGACACCAGGGCAGGACTCTGGGGTCTGCAAGAGGGGCGGCCTGGAGCTGGGGGTGGGGGGGGCCACGGGGTGGCCTGGAGCCCAGCTAAGCCTAGGATCTGGGTGCAGGGCCCGAGGGGTGTCCTGGGCCCTCCCTCCCCACCCAGGGAAGGCACCCACCCTTGAAGGACGACTCCAGGACAGGGGCTGGCTTGGGAGCCAGGAAGAGCTTCCGGGCGTGACGGCTGAGAGCGCCGCCCTGCCCCGACGGCACGATGAGCTGCCGGGTGAAGCGAGCGCGGTCGCGGATGTCGTAGTTCTGGTCGTACTTGGCCAGGCTCAGCACGTACTGGGTCAGCAGCTTGGTCTGGGGACAGGAGACATGGGGGACCCAGGAGCCAGGGATTTTGAGCTGACACGCCCAGCCGCCGCTTTCCCAGATCCTCCCTTGACCCCAACGCTGGCCACGGCCTGGTGCAGCTGGTGGGCGCCCTCGCGCTCCTCCCTGGCCAGCGCTGCACCCTGCTCGGGTCTGGCCCGCAGCCCTTCCTGCCCACTACCTGCCTCGCAGGGGAGCACGCCTGGCCCTCCCCCAGAGGCCAAGGCAGCAGCCCGGACCTGCCTCCTCTGGCTGGTCACTACGGGGGTACCCTTGCCACATCCATTTCAGGGGCTGCTGAGCCCCCCGCCCCCACAGACTGCTGCTGGCTGGTCCCCGCTCCCTCCCCTAGTCCTGGCCCCGCCTGGGAAGCAGCGAGGCCCCACTGCCCACAGGCTGACTGCACGCCAGCAGGCACCACGGGAAGCCGAGGGTCACGCCTCGCAGCAGCCGCGAGAGCATCCCGGACGTCCGGCGGCAGTGGAGGGGACGAAGGCGCGAGGTATCCGCGCGGAGCACTATGCAGCCGTGAAGAAGCAGCCTCCCCACTTGGGGAGCTGAGGGGCACTTTGCTGAGTGAAACGCCGGGAGCGACGCAGGCGCAGCTGCCTCCCCTCCACGGGGCGGGGGGGGGTAAGGAGGCAGAACCAGGACAGACGCAGTGAGCAGACTGGGGACCTGCAGGACTGAGGCTCCCAGGTGGGGGGGGGCAAGAGAGGGCGGGGTGCAGGGCTGTGGCGGAGCACTGGGTGCTGTGGCGGGGGGTGGTGTGAGAGAGCCCCGAGTCACCGCACTGTGCCGCAGACCGGTATGGTCTCACTAAACAGCAAAGCAAGCAAGTCCCCGAACGAGCAAACCCCTGATCACCGGTGGACGGATGAAGAGGCCAGCCCAGCCGCCCCGCTCGCCGAGGCAGGCGCCCCCGGCGGCACATCTCCTCTGGTCAGCCACAGTGGGGGTGCTTGCGGCAGAGTGGACACCGCCCCCGCAGCCTGGGCGGGGCTCTGGCGCGCAGTGGGGGCCCCGCGTGCTGGGGGCAGCCGTGGCAGGCTCAGGTTGCCCACACCCCAGGGTGGGGAGGGCCCTGCAGGCGCCCCAAAGCCCCCCACAAGCCAGCTTCACTGCAGGGAGGGCTGGGGGGGAGCGGGGGGGAGGCGAGTCGCCGCCCACTCAAAGAGCCACCTGAAGTGCCTGGAAGGGCCACCACCCATCGCAGGGAGGCCAGAGCGCCAGTCCCTCTGTCTGGACAGCCGGCCCTGGGTGCCCACAAGAGCCGCCAGGAGCGGGACAAGCGCAGGTCCCTTCTGCTGACCCCCGGAGGCGGGCGGGCAGGCGGGCGGGGCTCTGGCCACTGTGCCAGGACACTGCTTGCCACGCCCTGGCCGGCTCAGCCACGTGACTCCGCCCTGCACCAGACCATGCTGAGGCGTCTCCTGGAACACAGCTTTTGGCCTCCTGCTGGGCCCCAGGAGAGCCGCTCCCTGGCTGCAGCCCCCCGTTCTCCCCTGGGCGCCCCAGACAGTGGCACCAGACAGCCAACCCGGCAGATGGCCAGGCTGGCCAGGCAGGGAGCGCCGACCACACCTGCGGCCACCCGGCGGCCCCAGTGCCCACGGGAGGGGCTGTCCAGGCTCCTCCGGGCCCCGGCCTGAGCAGCCAGGTGCCAGGCGGCAGCTGACCCCGGCCCAGGCTGGAGGGGCTGCGCTCTCACCTGCTTGGAGTTGGTCAGGTAGAGCTTGGCCGCCAGGTTGATGACCTGCAGCTTGACGATGTCCTCCTCGGCCGTGAAGGACTTGGCCATCTTCCGCAGGACGTCGGGTGCGATCTCGGGCACGCGCTCACAGTACTCGCCGATGAGCCACAGGATGCTGGCGCGGGCCATGGGCACCTGCGGGCGGGCACAGGGCAGCGCCTCTCCCCACCCCCGCTCGCCAGGCGACCTGGCACGGCCGGGAGGGGTGTGATGGCCAGTCGGGCCTCACCTGGATGTTGTCGGTGAGCTTGGCCAGGTGCTTGATGATCTCCCCGTGCTGCGCCGGCTGCATCTGCAGCAGCTTCTTAATGACCACCACAGACTCGGCCACCACGAGCTCTGGGGTGGGCACGCCCCTGGCGTCAGCCAGGGGCGGCCCCCACGGAGCCCCAGACCTAGCCGTCCCCCCAGGGGGCCCTCAGAGCAGCGGGGCGCTGGACACCGACCGAGGCAGGCAGAGGGCTGCACACACGCGGCCCTGGCCCCGGCCAGCCGGGCCCACCGGCCACGGCCACGTGTGGGGCTGCATGGGTCACCCCCGCGGGACCCCGACACCCACTGACCGTCGCGGTTGGACAGCAGCTGCACCAGGCCGTTGAGGCAGGTGTCACGGACCCGGCCGATGTTGGTCGCGCAGCGGCCAATGGCCTGGATTGTGGCCGCCACGAAGTCCTTGTCCACGCTGCGGATGTAGGTCTGCGGGCGCCAGGCATGGCCGCAGGCAGTGAGCCCGCGGGGCGCCACGGTGAGGGGGCTGCCCCCCCGGCTCGGCACGCA